TTCGAAATCTTCGAATTGTTCGGACTTCATGTCTATAAAAATTCGAAGCGTTCGAAGTTTTCGAATTTTATTTCCAAAGAATTTCGAAATCTTCGAACTTTTCGAACTTCGCGATCCCAAGAAATTCAGATTTTTGGAATATCTCAAATTTCAAGTTAGCAAAGTTCGAAATCTTCGAATTTATTGAACCTCAAGTAAAAAATATTCAAAATACTCGAACCCGAAATTTTAAAACCGTGTAAGATTCGACCTTTTCGATTTCGAAACTCTACTGTGATCGAAAGTTCCTAATTTTTCGAATTCGAACCTCGGTCAGTACGAAAATATCGAAATGTTTTGATATCGAACCTGAGTTCGCTTCGCAAATATCGAAACCTTTCGAAATCGAACCTAGGGTGGTTAGCGACATCCCTACGTTGGATCCACGGATATTACCCACATTCTGCGCCTTGCAGAATTAGCCGAGAACTTGTGGAAACTCACTCCGCTACTTTTGCTGTATGTTTCGGTGCAAATAACGGCGACACAGCTTTGCGGCTTGCTGAAATGCTACTGACGCCCATGCAAAACGCCCGCCCTTTTGCCCACATGACCCGGCGCCGGCGCGATCGCAGCGCCGCCGCAGCTCCGTGACGTCAAACCCGCGTGTCGGCCTTTTTTTTTTTTAATTTTCGAAGGGAAAATGAGGTTCATTTTTCGCCCGATTTCGGTTTCTGGCGCTATAGAGCCTCCGTCGTCCACCATTTTTCCATTAAAAATTTCAGAAAATCGTTTATAGCTTTTGAATAAGATAACGGTTGGTGCTGAAACTTTGGCATCTTGCTCGAACGGCTGGGTCTACGTTCTGGCGAAGTTTGAGCTCTCCGCGATGTCTAGTTTATTTTTGCAGTGCGTAAAGCCGGGGTTTGGATTTCTCACGAACACTCGGAACACCCATACCAAATCCTTCCACATTCTCCGTGGAGACAGCCCTACTCGGCTCGGGCCCTGAGCAACAGCGAGAGCTGATAGCTCGGGCCAGAAAAATAGCGGTAGCCTGCGGGGCCTTGGCAGAGGGCCCTGGACGTGGGGACCTGAACCTAGGGGGGGAAACCCCTCAAATAAGAAACAATTGAAAGTTTTTACCACCCACCACCACCACCGGTATATATATATATATATATATATATATATATATATATATATATATATATATATATATATATATATTTTTGTGTCTGTGTGTGCTGCATGTTCTTGGCGTGGGCCTTCGGTCTTTCTATTCTCTGCCACCAGCATCTTTACTTGAGTGCAAATACACATTATCATTATCATTATCAAACGCGAATGTTTTCTTTCAGTTCCTCCTCAAATTTTGATAACGGAGTTGTAAGGATCGCATTGTTGGCGTGGCCAATAATGCAGTGCCTAGGATTCCCTCAACAAGCTTTCCGACCCTCGCTTCCTCGCGGTGACGACATTTAAATGTGGTGCACAGTAGATTTAACACGATCGAGTACTGCGTGGGTTGAGAGGGTGCACGCTGGTCGTTTTTCTCTAAGTTTTCTTTTCTGCGACTGCCATTGGGTGGAGCTCCACCAATGTCTAGTTTCAAGGGCGACAGGCATCCCCCACCCTCAGTTCCACAAATAGAACATTTTCTCAACTTCGCAGAAGTTGTAGCTTGTAGAATCCAGTAAGTAGAACTAACCGACAGTAGCCAGCAATGGCGACCCTTGCAAGCTTTGTCCTTCTGCCCGACCCGCATCACAACTAATCACCCCTTCCGCAGACGGCCATGCAGAAATGTCAATTTTTTTCGAAGTAAATAATTATAGATGTTGCGCTAACATAAATGTCATATTTCTTTTCGATAAAAAAAATAATAAACGCCTCAATGAGCTATCAGTTTTATCGTTTGCTTTCTTTGAAAACTTTGTCGATTTCGAAAAGGACACTTTAGGGGAAGGACCATTTGCGGCGCTGTGTGGCACAAACTCCTTCCTTCTCCTTTTAGGAGATTGTCCCTTCTAGCATGAGCGGTCCGTTTGACAGCTGCATGAGAGTGACAGAGGGCTCCTTCATTATATAGTCACTGACAACACTTGAAAAAATGAAGGATGCGGCTCATTATGTTCGTGGTTCTTGCTTCGTGATTTGTCCGTGGGCGTTCTTGTTGGCAAATGCCGCAATCTGATTAGCCGAGGAGCGATAATAAGATGCACGGGACCCGCCACGCTCTGCGTTGCTTAAAATGTCAGTGACTATAGTCATAGCCTTCTCTGTACTCATAAAGCCTGGCAGTTCGACGACGGAGCCATTGGGTGCCCGGTCGCAGATTTGGAGTGCGAGACTCTGGTAGCAAAGAGCATTTCTCGGGGAACCTAACGTCCCTGGATATTTTTTCGGGGAACCTGGTCGTCAGCGCTCAGTTTGTGCAGCGGCGAGGACCCGAAACACACTTTTTCGTTCGGGAGAAGTGTGTTTGGGCGTCTCGCCGCAGCGGGGCCCCAGTCACGTGGCTTTCCTCTCATCCGTTGTCTGCCGCTCCACCTTTTCCATTTCAGCGGGCGCTTCTCGTGGCGATCTGCCAGGCTTTGTCAGTATATATAGGAGGTTATGCTACGGTTTAAGTTTATATGGGAGCAAAGTCAAATCTACGAGCACGCGCGCGTTGCCCTGAAATGCTTGCTCTGCACGAGCGCGCGTGCTCGGCAAGGACGCTGAAAGCCCTGAGCTCGCTCTTGTAATCAATTTGGGCTGGGATAAATGCTTTTATATTGAGACTTTACTCCGTTTCACCTTACGTTGTACCGCAGCGAAGGCTAGAAGCGCGAGCTCATAGCTTTGGCAGCTGCCCTTGGTGCACAAGAGCTTGTGCCGCCGAGGTGAGAGCAAGGAGCTCGCGCTTGTAGCCTTTCCTGCGGTACAATACAAGGTGAAACAGAGTATAACCGCATGTCGTTTAATGGGCAAAAAAAAAAAAAAGAAGAGTGTAGAAAGTAAAAAGTTAGCTTTTCGGTACATATCATTTGAAACCATAGCGGACTATATTTCGGACCTCCATCGAAAGCTCTCCGGCTTTTCGCTATGGTACATCCGCGGCAGCACTCAAAGCACGCCCGCGGCACCCAAAATACGTCAGCCGACCCCAGCTCACGCATTGAACACGAGGAACTGCGTCATTCGGACGTATGCACTCGCCAACAACCCATTCGTCGACGAATATCTTGGATTCGCGTTCGTGGCCAATGAGTGCCCTGAGAGAAGTTATCGTCACTCGCGAGTGACAGGTTCTATGGTGTGCTTAAAAAGCGCGGTGGAAGCTTGGAGTCATAGCACCGGTGCCCAAGGTCACAACAAGGTGATTTCTCAATTTCTCACAGTCTGCAAACAAAAGACAGTCCGCAAACGCGAGACACCGCAATATCCGTGGTTCGAATGCCGCGTGCCAAGCTTTCTCCTGGAACTCATTGCCACGTGGTATTCGAAGCATTGATCTCGCGGTGACTCGCCTTCGAATCTGTATGCAGACTGTCTTTTGTATGATGTATAAGCACCGTGACCCCGGCTTTAGAGTCACAATAGACCTCTTTCAAAAGTCAGAGTAACCTTGTGGCAGTCCCAAAAGCTCCAATATTGGCGCTCTAATGGCGGTGATTAGAGATCATGCTCGGCTAAATCAAGCACCGTCGATTTCGGGAATCGATGGCGGAGTAAAAGGACCGACATGTTTCTCCCTTTATGCACTGTCATAGCCTCCCCGGTGGCTCTCTGCTTTCCAAGACGTTCGATTTTGTGGTGTGGAGAAGCAGTGTAGTGTCGCCATTAGAGTGTCGGTTTTGGCTCTGCACAAGGTGGGTAGGCTGACTATTCAATCAATCTGTTATTGAATTAATATACGTTTATCATTTTCCAGGTTCAACCTCGGGATTTTTGTCAAACGTTGCTCCACCAAGGAACCGCGTATGTCTCAGTTTGTCCGGAATTCTGAGTTTTCGGTCCATCTATCACTCACTGACAGAGTCAATTTCAAAGGAATTGTCATGTTTTCTGCCAACCGGAGCACATACCGACGACTATATTTATGGCGTTAGGCAATCTATATAATGCATAACAATTCGCTGTTTTTATAAAATTAGTTAAACAATGAGTGACAACTTGATTGCGTGCGGTACCGACATAAGCCACTTCGCTCGGAAAAAAAAAAAAATACTGTAAAATCCCACTTATCCAAATTTTTCTCAAAATCCCCGGACAAACTCCGTTTAATACGTTCAGTTGATTGAACACTCAAACTTTTTCTTCGAGGTCCATTGAAATTTGTTCAAATATTTCAGTTACTTTTTTTTTGTATCTTACTCGTATTTCGTGAATTTTTCTCTTGGAGGAAACTAAAATGGATACATGTTGTGCTTGCTAGTCAGTTACTGTTTTGAGTTGTCTTTTTGTGTGCCTGTGTATTTCTAAAAGAGGTACATACATTGTACGTATTCCACATCTATTCATGTAAATACTCCGGCGATGACAGTGTCCTAGCACCACAGTATGCACACACTCTTGCGACCTCTTCCAAATGAACACTCAAGGGAACCTCGCCGTCTTGTCTTTCGCAGCACCCCTCTGTCCGAGACAAGTGTGCCGCTCCGTCTCGGCATTTATGCCGGGGAGAGAGCAAGCACTCTCCCCAGGCTGAACTTGAACGTCGCGCAGTTCTCGCCCCAGAGCAGCCGCCTGCGCATCTGGGCCATGCAAAACTCACCGCGTCCCAGGAACGCATTGCCGGCCACGACGCGACGAAGACATGCTTTCGGGGTCACTGCTTCGTCCGTCGACCGGGCCCCCTCTCTCCGCGTTGTTCCCCTCAACCGGTTTCGCTCGCTCCCTGGACCATTCTATCTGGCCGGGCATCGTCGGCACAAGGCACACGACGCGAGCTGAGCTCTGCTGCCGCAGTCATGTTCGCCAGGCAAGCGGCCGTCTACAACGGTGTCTTCCTAGCGGTGCTTCTGGTCGCTTACCTGGTGCCCGGGCTATGGCTCTTGGTAAAGACCTGTGGCATCATATGCTTCCTCTGCATGCTCACCCGAAGGATTACCACGGAGGTGTACACGCAGCTGGGCAAGAAGCCCGTGACGGCCAAGGACAGGGCTGTCCTCATCACAGGTAGGTTAATTAAGGCTTCAGCGAAAATATTCCGAATCCTTCTAATAAGTGTTTCTTTCTTGAGGAGCATCGTACCAAAGGCCCATTTCCCTTACAAAAAGTATCAATGAGTTTCAATTGAGTTTCTAATGAGAATACATTAGAAACTCAATTGAAACTCATTGGTACTTTTTGTGAGGGTGGGGTTGACTAACTTTCCGCATTCTAAACAAACACACAACATAATTACTTCATTGCTTTAATTTTACACCAGCGTCCATTCCATCCCATCACAGCAAAACGCTGTAAAAAAAATGGCTCCGTTCCTCCGCAGAATTATAGACCGTAATACTACGACATTAACTGATGCTGATTAGAAATTAAATGTGTGCGTCTTATTTCTAGGCACAAAATTTTTTTCCCATTAAATCAATGGACGTTTTTTGTGTGTGCAATATTTGGAGTATTTGGCCGTCATAATAAAGAAGCAGTTAGGTTTTTAAAGTATAGGTTTTCGAGGGTTTTTTATAGCGTCGGACTTGCGGCACGCATCTAAATTGAATATCCAATTTGTTTCTTTAAATATAAACATATTTTATATCGTAAGAAAAAAAGAAAAGAAAAACAACTAAATGTCCAATAATCTTGGCCATGCTTGCAAGACCTTTAATTTTTTTTTTTTTTGTAAAATTTTGTGTGTATTTTTGGTCTAAAGTAGCTAAACTTCAAAATGTCCGAACTCGCTTATATCTTTCTCTACTGTTTCTTAGGTCCCTGATTTTTAAGTAAATGTGAAACTTCCTAGCGGCGTAAGTGTTTATTATATGCCTGTAGTATAATATAAGACTCTTATTTAATTACAATCTTTGTCGGTGTATGTGGCGGTCTCAATCTTGTATTACATGTACGCCATACAGGTAAAGGTATTCAACACGAAAGAGGAACAATGCCAGCGATTTCCATAACATTGCGAAACAGTTTAGATTGCGACAGAAAAGAACGAAAACAATCCTAATATAACCGACATCACGAAGTGGATGCGCGCCAATTTTCCTTAAGGCTCGATCAACAGCAGATAACATTATTAATAACATCATTATCTGGGAGAAGTTGGCTCAAAACGAATCGTTTTTTTATGCTACAAATTCTTTCATTATGTCATAGCATTATCAACGCACTTATATATATTCGATGCATGCCGTACGTGCAAGTAGCTGGAAAACGCTGGCTGTAACTCGAAATATACTTTTTTTTTATCCCCTGCTAGTTTAGAACTTCTAGGATTGTTTTCTTTTTTTCTGCTCCCGTAAAAAAGTGGCAGTGTCCTGAACAAATAAAAAGAAAAACTAAATTAGTTTAAGATGTCTTGTTTTCTTTTTGTTTAGAAGAACCTTTTACATTTCCTCTTCAACCCTTCTAAGATAGTAATTTTTACATTACACTTTGTTTTAAATGACGCCGTATATTTAATTGCCTGCATTTGTCGTGTAATGCCAACAATAAATAATCAGACCCGAACAGCACTAATCTGGATCATCGCGAAAGTCAAAAGAATTTGCGCGGAAAATAAATTTTATGGTAAAAAAGGTGCTATCTTTGAATGCCTCGCAGGAAATTGCGTGCATTAGTTTAGTTCCGACAATAAACACAATAAAAAAATTGCGGCGTAAAAAGGATAATTGCATGAACGTGAGTTTTACAGTAATTTGTTTTCCCATTTAAAATGCCAAAACGAAGAACTCTTCATTGCTCAGTATATACCCTAGCTGGCTGTTCTTCGTAACGGCTGATAAAAATGTGTACGGACATGAACCGTGTTGATAACGTTAACATATGTATTTAAGGGGTGTGCAAATGCCGGCTCGAAAATGAAAAGCGCAGTGCAATCGCTAACTTCAACACCGCCACAAAAAAAAAAAAAAAAAAAAAAAAAAAAAATCGATTGTTGTGATTTTTTTTTTACCTCGAAGGTTATGAATGACGTGGTGGTATTCGATTAAAACCAATATTATTCCCACACCCCCTATCATATTTGTTACCCGATTTCTCCAGACGCTGATCTTTCCTTCCACTGATTTGCACACCCTAAGAAATCTGCAGCGTCTACTTTCCAGCACAGCAATTCGGAAAGCCAATTATTGCAGCCAACGGTGGAAGCATGGACAATCACGAAACTCAAAAGACAAACAAAAAACCGTTTAGATTAAAAAAAAAAAAAAAAAGTGCGCTGCCAGTTTTTAGTTTTTGAACATATTTCCAGCCTCGTCGTTAGCCAAGCTCGATTGCACCGATCCGCTTTCACAAGTGCTTGTACTTCGTTTCACCTTATGTGCGAGCGAAGGCAAAGCTGGAAGCGCGAGCACGAAATCGCCATGCGTTCACTTTGCTCGAGCGCGCGAGCTGGGGAGAAACGCAAAAGGCGCTGGTCTCGCGCTTCTAGCTTTGGCTTCGCTCCCAGATAAAATGAAACGAAGTATAGTGGGAAATCAGACGTTCCAGATTGCTTAGAGTTTACACCTGTGAGCGTATCTCGAGATATTTTTTTTTCTTTCTTAAAAATGAGTGAGCCGTTAACTTCAGGAGAGAGAAGAGACCGCCTTTTGAAATAAAACACTTTCATCGTCTGACCCAACATTTCTCGTGTTTCAATCTCGACTAGACGGGGCAGTAATTTCGTTCATACTTCTTTTTTTACCATCTATGTACTTCCTGCACGTGCTTGGTCCTGCTGCAACGCTAGATATCTCCCAGTTGCGTCAGAGCCGTGTATTGAGAGAGTTTGGTCAATGGGAGGCGCGGGCAGAGCCAGGGTGTGCACCAGACTCGGAAAGAGGGCTTGGCATGCTCTCTTGACCAACCAGAAGCCGAAAAGAATCCCCTAGCGGTGGTAGCGGCAAACAGTTCTGATCAAAAGCCTATGTTCGTATATGGTTTTAATAAACGCGTAAGTGTGAAGTGTAGTAACTCTTTGTGGTTGAAAATAGGGTGCACGTGTTGTTTTCATCATGATCATGCAGAAAGATGTAAGAAACGAATGCACCGCGCAACTCTGTTTTGCACGGACGTTCAGACGGCAGATTCCCGGCCCTGGGCGCTTGGCGCGTACGCATCATGTCGATCGTTCCGCTAGTCGCACTCTTCCACCATCATTTTGGATTAACGTGATTGAAACATCACGTGTACTATATTTTCAGCCATTGAGAGTTACTCCAATGCAGTTATCAGGTTTGTTTCTTGCGACCACCGCCAGGGTATTATTTTCGGCTTCTGGTTGGTCACATTCGAATTTCTAAAGACGCCCTGGAACACGCCCAGCCCGCTTTCGGCCAATGGCGCCTCCTCATTTGTCTCCTATACTTCCCAACGAATGGCCAAACTCTCTACATGTACGGCTCTGAGTTGCGTCAGAGCCGTATATGTAGAGAGTTTGGTCAATGAAAGGCGCGGGAAGAGCCAGGGCGTACAGCAGACTCGGAAAGAGGGCTTGGCATGCTCTCTTGACCAACCAGAAGCCGAAAAGAATCCTCTAGCGGTGGTAGCGGCAAACAGTTCTGATCGAAAGTCTATGTTCGTATATGGTTTTAATAAGTGCGTAAGAGTGAAGTGTAGTAACTCTTTGTGGTTGAAAATGGGGTTCACGTGCTGTTTTGATCATGACCATGCAGAAAGCTGTAAGAAACGAATGCACCGCTCAACTCTGTTTTGCGCGGACAGAGTATGACCGCTCAGACGGCAGATTCCCGGCCCTAGGCGTTTGGCGTACGGATTATGTCGATCATTCCGCTAGTCACACTCTTCCACCATCATTTTGGATGAGCGTGATTGAAACATCACGTGTACCATATTTTCAGCCATCGAGAGTTACTCTAATGCAGTTATCAGGTTTGTTTCTCGCGACCACCGCCAGGGTATTATTTCGGGCTTCTGGTTGGTCACATTCGAATTTCTGAAGACGCCCTGGAACACGCCCAGCCCGCTTTTGGCCAATGGCGCCTCCTCATTTGTCTCCTATACTTCCCAACGAATGGCCAAACTATACATATTCGGCTCTGAGTTGCGTGGCCGCGCCAATAGACCTATTGCTAAATTGCGCAAGCATCAAGGAGAACGCAGGAAATGGTGTTCCACGCGCCTGCACTGCACGCCTTTCCCGTATAAAAGATTCGAAGTAAATAACCAAAATAAATCGTTGACGAACGCGCGTGCAAGATGCCATTTGTTTTAGGCTTTTGCTCGAGAACAGTTACTGTTGCAGACGCCGGCACGTGCGGCGCGTGGAACACCATTCCCTGCATTCTCCTTGATGCTTTGGTAATTTACGGACTTCCCACCTCCGCTACACGCTCTCCGCAACGAAGACGCCACTACTGCGCATGCGCGACGCTAGCCTTGCCCGCAGAGTCCCAGATCTCGTATAGCGTGTTGCGGAGAACGTGGCGCGGTATCGTTATCGGTGTCATCGGGAATAAAGAGTTTTCGTAGATCGCGTTTCCCCCTCCGCTAAGCCCTCTGCAACGGAGAAGTCGCCACTGCGCCTGCGCGCCGACGGCCTTGACTGTAGAGTTCCGGGTAGCGGAACGGGTTGGCGGAGAGCCTTGTGGGACGGCGAAAACGGTCTACGAAAACTCTCTAATATCTACTGAAAACTGTTTAAAGAAGCCTCACTCCCGCTGAGCCTCACCCCCCCGAGGTCACGTGACCCCAACTCCCCCGAGATCACGTGACCCCCCCGGGGTCACGTGACTACCCGCAGGTGACGTGACCCCCCTCAGTACCCTTCCCTACTCCTCCTCAAGAGCTGCGCTCCAATTCGGCGTTACAGGGATTTGTAAACGGCTTTCATTTTTTTTTAACAGTCTTCGATTGGGCAGGAAATTGACAGACCGCATCAATAACCGTTTGCCAGCTGATAGTCAAAATATTTTATAAAATTACAAATTTTCTGGGAAGTTATTTAATTTTCAAGTTGCACCAACAGCGACAGTTCCAGGAGGTGACTCTGTACTATACAATGAAAAATGTACGTCACTGGCGGGCAGGCGGGTGAGCGACCCGAACAGTCGCGAAGTGACTTTCCGGGCGCCAGCAATCGTGGTAATTTCTTTCACAGCTTCAAGGTTAAAAGTATACCCTTGCAATGGGTAGCAATCTGTGATCTGCGGTAGGTTGTAGGAACAGTGCCGGAAAAAGCTTCTTTTTTTTACCCTTGGTTTCTTAAGAGAGAAAAGAAAGAAAAAAAAGCGCTTTTTGGCAGCAGTGGAGGCCAGCGAGTTGTGTGCCGAGACGAAACGTGTCACGTGAAACATTCTCACTTATGCTCGGAATACTTGATAGCCGCGTGCTGCGAGTTGAGTATCCTTCTGCAGCTGGAACAGCTTCAAGAGCGGCAAGCGCAGACTCAAGCCGGCTGTGACCACCACGACATCAGTCCAGAGAAGAGCGCTAATAATATCGAGAAAAATAATGCACATTCATAGCACTATGTTCGACATTTGCCACAGTCACATTTGTTATTCACAATTGCTTCAGTGATCTTTTTTTAACATTATTTTTGGTTTGGACATTGAATCTAGCTCGGGCCACGCTCGGAGTTTCACTCACGCGGCCGATCAAGACGAGAAGTGAAATGTTTAAACAAAGTTCAAATCTGAGTTTAGACATGACTTTCGACACATTGCTATTCGTGTCTGGTACAGAGGTTTAAGGAACAGGGGTTGAGCTTCATTAATATACGACAGAGCCGTTCCCTGGTTTGTCGAGTGGTTGGCGTGCAATGTTCTCTCGCAGAAGAGGTGGTGAAAACGTCTTTATATAGGGCTGAAAAGCTGTTTAAAATCATTAAAATATTAATTTCGTTTAGAGGAGGCATGCAAATTTGCAGCTGATGAAGACTATGTAAAACTAAAACTTAATTAAA